CATAGTCAAGCAGACCGACTGCCTACATTTCTCATGACAAATTACTTAATTTCCCATAATCCCAATGGATACCAACAAGCTGAGCTAGTTGGGTGCCAACCTTCTTTTTACCAGGCTAAGCTAACGCCTTCCCTCTGCTTTCATCCCCCAGAATGCCATGCGCTTCTAGATCAGTGAAACTATAAGCATTTTATCGGACGTATTTTCCATTGATATTGATGATGTGTCGATCACAATACATGATGTTGGCGTTTCATTGACCAGCTCTAAAAGAGAAACTAACCAGCCACAGCAAGGTCTTCTGTCCCATTTTCCTGCACCAGCTAGCATGAAAATCTACACATCACACACACAAAAAATACCACAAAAACATGACTAATAAAATCATAACGCATATCTCAAACTTTACCTGCAGTCGTTGGAGATGAAATAAACCAAGTCAGGTGAAACATGCAGCCGTGCAAGGCAGTCATTTCTTGCTGATGCACATCCTAAACACCTGATCTAAAGTGCATTATGATTCCAGGTATCCTCTCTGAGCACGACCTAAAATTGTCCACCACCTCTAGTAAACATCTGCTCAGAGTCCGACACCAAACACATACAGCAGAGGAATCACAGGGCAGCCTCTCCTGCTGGTGGGTGGCTGAGTGGGTGAGTGTGGGCAGACAGCTCCACTGGTGACTAGAGGGGCTGAAAGGTGGAGCTGGCTGGCAGATACCAGATAAAATCTCTGCCCTGCTGCCTCATTTGCTAAATGGGTAATATTCACAAAAAAAAAAAAGCTACTCTAAAATGACTAGGTGAGGAAAGTGAAAACCCGCTATGCACATCAAGCACACAGGCACCTGTGAGAGATTTAGCATGCATGGGTTCCTGCTGGAATATGAGAGAATCAAACGCATTTCATCTGGGAGGGCACGCGGTTACACATTTCCAATTCAAGTACCGTCACTAAAACCCTGCGCCAAAATCACTGGCTTTGAATAAACCCAAAACGAGCGAGAGCCAGCCAAGTGGCTCATTTCAGCTCGGCACATCATCACATCAAAAACCAAAAAAAAATTTAAAAAATAGAAAGAAAGAAACTACTACGGTTAGCCGAACGATTTCACAGTCAACAATCACAGAGTCCAAACTGTTACTAATCAATGTATTTTAATGAGCCCCCTGTGATTTCCAACAACAGCTGAAACATGAAAAGCTGCTCAAGTTCTCTGGTTCACTCTTTGTACCTTGTGATCTGTTATTCATGGACTGCTCTGTAGTCTCTGAGAAATAAAGCAGAGCTTTGATGTTATCCTCTTATGACTGCTGTCCGACACAGGCCTAACGCTGGGGTTCTTGTTGGGCTGTCATGAGGCGAGAAAAACCTTTTTGCAACACAAAACAGCCAGGCGTCACAACACAATTCACCGAAGGGATAGAAAAAAATAAATAAATAAATTGATTTTAGCCTCAAAAGCCAAGCAACACTTACGCCCGTCTCCAAAGAAAAGGATTTATAACAGCACCTTGCAGAAGTACCTACACCTCTGCAACTGTTTTGGTATTTTAATTATATTTTGTGCGACAGACCAACACAACGCGGCTCATAATTGCAAAGTGAAAGGAAAATTATGTAGTTCTGAACAGTTTTTACAATATTTAACAAGTGTGCTGTCTTTTTTTTTTAGCCAAGATTCTGATGCAACACTTGGTAAAATCTCTTGAAATTAAAGCTTTGGGGAGAAAGGCTGGACGCTTTTTTCTCTCTTAGCCAAACACATGATTGGAGATCACCTGAAAACATCAGTTTCACTTCCACTACAGCCTCTGGAGTGACCTTTCACTGTGTGCACCCAATAACCAGATTCCCTTTTCCTGCAAAAGAAAAGTATCCCCACAGCATAATGGCACCAACACCGTGGTTATAGTTATGCATCACATGTAGCATTTTTTCCTTGCTGACTAAAAAGACCAGCATTTGTTTCTTCTGACAAAAACGTGTTTGTTTTTTTTTTTTTTTTACACGTTTGCTGTGTCTAGAGTTACACTGGGCAACCATGCCTTCCTGTTTTAATTTATAAGTGATGGATTATTCAGTGCTTGATGAGATATTTGAAGCTTGGCAGATTGCTTTCCAACCTAACTCTGCTTTAAACTTCTTCATAACTTTCTCCTTGAGGTATCCCGTTTCTTGGACTATGTGGTGCCGTTTGTTCATCAATACTCTAACAACCGAATAAGGTCTTCAACATCCTGATAGTGAGATGGATTTTATTTACTGATTAGGCGCACCTCTGGATTTTATACAGGGGCATCAGAAAATAGGGGGCTGAGTACAAATGCATCCACTTTTCAGAACCTTTTTTTAACAATTGCAGGGTTTAGCAGTTTTTCATAAATTTAATGGAATAATTGCATTGGAGTTCCACTACAGTGACACTAAAAGGTTTTTCTTATATTCGTAACTCAAGGCTTTTCTTTACATCTTTCCACAAATAACAGCCAAGAGATTACAAAGTATCCATCCTCTTTTTGCAGAAATTTCACCTTTTTCTTCACTTTAAGACCTACAAATAGTAATAAAACTGTGACAATACTTAAACATCCATAGGAATTTATTTAAAAAATGTTCCTCTCCTCAAACGGTCTTGCAACATTTCCAGCTTTATTTTCCCTAACTGCAGCCCAAAATGTCTCTTTGTCTTGATCTAAAACATCACTCTCAATAAAATCAAAATTTGTGGTTTTTAGCCTACGAAATTGAAAAAAATATTTATGAATACTTGTAAGAAATGGCAGTGTAGCTACGTTGCAGTCATAGTGTACTCCGTTCCCTAATCCATCTTTGTTTTTTCTGAAACACTTCAACATCCCCCATAAGCAAACTGAGAAGGATCAGCCGTCACAATGCCACAGCAAAGTTTATTGAGAAAACTACCCTCCTAAACCACAGTGTAAATCAATATGCTCAAATATACTTGTCAGTAACTTCCTAGGGAGACAAAAAAAAAAAGAAAAAAAGACGAGCTTGCTTTTCTGTCGGCTTGCCCTCAGCAGAGGCTGTGGATTTGCAGTGACAGGTCAAAGAGTCAGCACATGACTCATGGACAGAGGAGGAGAGGCGCTCTGAAAAAGCCACGCAGAGATCTAATTAACACATGCATTCAAGTGGTATTTCCATTTGGTGGAACGCAGTAATTTTCTGCATTGCTGGCCAGCGTGACACGAACAAACGAACCAGGTGCTCCTGACACTCAGACTGATTGCCTGGCTTTATGACTAAGAGCAAACACAAGCGTCACTTTCAGACTCAAACAGAGAGAGCGTCGTGAGCACACAGGGAAAGTCACACCTGCGGCACCAGAACCGCACACAGAGCAGCCGCGCTCCTGACCACCGTTAACCTCCGCATCGCACCGCATCGCACCGCATCTTCAGGCGGAGAGTTGTGCGCGATTCGTCATTAGAGGAGACGCGCTTTACAGATGAGAAGAGGCCTTACAGTAATTTACTGCTAAGACCTAATTAATCTTTATTGTGCTGGGAAACATAGCACCCAAACGCAAAGACGGTTTCCTTCTGCACTGATAATTGCAGGGAGTCGAGGGGCCCGAGTTTCCCCAACAACAAGGTCTGAAATTTAATTATCTGCTCTTTGGAAAATGTAGGGGGAGAAAGCTACATTGCAAAACTGCACTTTGGGGCAAGTAATATCAGGCTCTTGTTTGAGCAAGCACAGGATATCACTGAGCCCATCCTCCATGCTGCCATAAATTAAACAGTCGCAGAACCAACAGATTTGCTTTCTGTTGGTTCTGTATCAAACTGAAGGTCCTGATGCAAGGTAAGCAAAACTCCAAGCAGTTGCAAAATTTTAAGTAGTTGACTTCAAAACTGGGTTTTCATGACAAATGTGCTCAAAACTTTTTCAATATTTTGCTATTGCCGATAAAATAACAAATAAAAAACAATTTCGCAGTTCTGGTGTTTCTATTAAATAGGAAATTTTAAAAATAACACGTGAATACGTGTTGTCGTGCGGCAAGTCATTAAAAAACATGCAGCGCCACAGTCTTCCCATCTCTTCCTGTCATCGTCTTTTACGCCAGATGCCTGAACCAAGGCAGATTGGTAAAATATTGCCTTATCGATTGGTTTTAATTTGCCACAACTTGTCCAGTTGGATTTGAAACTGATAGGAAGTAAAGAGTAGATACTGGCTTGGTTTTGTAGATGGTTCAATTATCTTATTGACATTTTCGTTAAGATGGATTATATGCTGAACTGCCTGAAGCGTGACATCATAAAACCATTGGACCTATTGGTGATACTGAAAATAAATCAATGCAAACTGAACACGATGCGTTTGATACAAATTTATTCTTTTTTTTAATGCTAGGCTACATCTAAATGTTAAAACTGACTTCAATGACTGTGTCAGCAAAACAACCGTTTGGTCTACTGTATCCTAAACAATTTAGCCAAACAGGAACAAAGGTGATGACTTAAATTTACAAAAGTAATTCCACTGGAGAGTATTGCATTTAAATAAATACATTTAAATATCCATCACATTTTTTATGAAAAAGTTCAACCTTCATGTTTAGAGCATTTACATAAACTTAAGAGGAGTGGCAAAAGCAAATGAAGTGGATTAGCAGGACATTTCACTGAGGGATATTGTCTCTTCTTCTCCCCAGATATTGAGCTGTCAGCACGTCATGACTCAGTCAGATGAGTCTTCGGATTCATTTGTTGATTAAAAACAAATTACACAAAGGGTGGGGAGAGATGCCTCGACGCATGGATGTGAAAATAACATTGCAACATTTCTTCACTGCATTTTAAAATAACTCCTTTTTTTCCCTCTCTTATTATAGGAAAGCACAATTGTTGAGAGTACAGAAAACAAAATAAATTGGATATCAGTATTGGCCCAGAAAAAAACAAACAGTCCTGAATAGAACAGCTGGTATAATTTCCTACCCAACATTAATGCAGCTTCATCTCACCCTGAGCAGAGGGTCAGACCTTCCCGGTCCCATCAGTCGCTCTATACTGCGGTAAGCCTCTCAATAAAATCCGTGACATTACAGAGCGACCACATCCACGGAGCCAGAGCAGCCAAAGACAACACGGACATGCTGTGGCAACATTAACATTCCTCCGTCTAAAGACCAGGAGGAGGAGGGACATCGATAGGATCCCATTAGTTAAGTGCGCCCTTAGGATACCCGAAATTTGATCAGAGATAGTCCTCCTGCTTCCAGACACGATCCATTAGAGCTCTCCTGCTCCGGAGCTGCTCCTCCTGTCCTCCTCCTCCTCCTTCTCCTCCTCCTCCTCGGTGGTCGAGGTTGTGCGGCAGGAGCAGGATGAGCCCGGTGACGTCAACCTTTTGTTATCACCTTTAACACTTGCCTTTGCAGGTGCAAACACTTTCCTCAGTCGCTGCGCGTAAAGCTGCTATTTGCACAGCGCACACATCCCCGCGCAGAGGGCTGACACTCACAGCTGGACAATTTCTCCGACTTCCAGAAGATTTCAGGGAATATCACCAGCGAAATACACTTTATACAAAAACTCAACTTTATTTCAATGAAGGTGTTTTTATAGAAAAACAAAAAAACATTTCTTCTACCACATCCTGGGAGAAGTGGAATAAACCCACCCGTGTGTGCAGCGCAAATTACGTGTGACAATCCAGTGGCAGGGGAATGAATAATCCCCTGCGGGTTGGTGTCACATCACAAAACACAACCAGCTAACTAAAAAGCCCAGTTCGCCCAGTTAACACCAGCTGGCCATGATAGAAACAATAAATAATAATTTGGCTCCCCGTGCGCCTACAAACACCGAGAGCCCACGCGTAACTGTGGGGCTTCTCGGCAGATAAGCTGGGATAAAACGGGGTCAGCAGAAAGCCATAAACCTCCAGGTTGCCAGTCAGAGTGCCAGCTGACTGCCAGGGCTCCGGGCTAAGCTAGCCAGACAGTCTGAAACATACACAGTCCCATTGTTGCCCTCCCTGCCTCCCCTCTTATTCCTGCCTCGGTTCGGGGGGGACGTCACACGGCACCGAGCGGCGAACACGCGGAAAACACGCAGGAACTCACCCTCCGTTCACCTCGGGGAAACGCATCATTTTAGACCTTGGCCATGGTTTAAAACGGACAGATTTTCTGCCGTCGCCCTGCGCTGGCCGAATCACTGCTGCTGCTGCTGTCTGCGGCACCAACTTCCGGCGCATGCGCACTGGCCGGAGCCGTTACAAACAGAGCCGTGCGACAGAGAGCGTTAAAGGGACAGCCCGCTTATCTGAGGCCAGTTTAGCACCTGGTTTTAAAAGATACGTGCCGTCTGAAATGTTTACTTTCCTATAATAAAATAAAATTTCATCAGTGGCTTCAATACGTTATATATTATGACAATGTAGAGTAGGGGTTTTCCTCTGAATTGTTTTAAAATTCAAGAATGATGCACATTTTACAGACTAGCACAGGCAGTTAGTAGGTTGCAGCAAGTATTTTTGGGGGCAAATGCCTTTCTTTTAATGAGACTGAAGTACTTCAGGTCTAACACGAGTTACAGATTCATTTTAATACAAAAATCTGAGCAATTTGCTTATATATTATAGCAGGGGTCTTGAACTCCAGACCTCCAGGGCCGGTGTCCTTCAACATTTAGATGTGCCTCTGCTGCACCACATCTGAATAGAATAAGGTCATAAAGGCATTGGAGAACTTATCTACACAAGGAGGAGGTAATTAAACCATTTCATTCCTGCGTTTTTGTACTTGTGCCACATCTAAAAACTGCAGGACAGTGGCCCTGCATGTGACCCCAGCATTAAAGCATTGCATGTTTTAATGGTATAAAAGTTGTTGAGTTTTGAAAAAAAAAAAAATTGGAATTAGTTTTGGTGTATTTTAAAATCAGCATGTGAGAACTGTTCACTTTATAATTTTAGCCCACAAGGCAAAACGTTTGGACTCCACAAACAGAGATTAAGCTTCAGCTGTTTTACACAGAACAAAGAGCAACAGAAAGAGACATGCCCTTTGCAGTGAAAGGTTGTTGTAAAGCATGCCAGGCTATTATATGCTACTTTGTGTTTGTCTATTCCATAAAATTCCAATAAAATTCATTGTTCTCAGCTCTATAAGTGTCCTAAATGTGAAAAGGTCCAAAATACATGGTTACTTTTTATTCACAATGGGTGATTTTCCTTCCAGTTCATTTGAGCCTGAGGTCTGGCCCTACTGTTAAGTGATTTACCTCTCCTTCTTCAGCATAGAAAGTACTCCTAGCTCAGTGGATCTGTGTTTGATCAGCTGATCTGTTGTTGGATCTGTCGTCTCAAAGCCCCAGTAGATGTTTAATAGAGTCATTACTTTCCACTGTCACCTTGTGCTTAATTCAAAGTCAATAACATAATGGCGTCGGTTTAGTTAGTTTAGATTTTTAAAAATAAACGTTTTTACCACCTGAACTTGTGTGCATTGTATTATAACTCATATCAAACTGGAGCATACTTTGCTCCTAATAGACTGTCAGAAATTTTGTTTCAATGTTTTTGCTAAATCTATGAAATATAGAAAAGATAACACAGTTTGACACTTAAAAATGATTTCAGCAGGATCAAGGTGATTCCCTAAGGTGTGACTTAGACCCCAAAGGAAGTCAACCTTCAAAATAACAGGTGTGTTCTTAAATGATGTTTAGACACTTTTTGTCTGTAAACTGCCAAGTTGCATCAATGTGAAAAGATGTTTAATATTCCTATACTTTAAGAAGTATTTACTGAATATAAAGAATATTTTAATGGTTTGTTAATGGGTTTTATGAAGACATTCATTATCTTTATATGACCCCAAATAAAAATGAGTTTGGCATCCCTCACCTGAAATCTGAACTCAACATGAACTACATTTTGTCATGATTAGGCACAGAGCTGAGCAGAAAATGCTGCCAAAGTCCAAGAAAAAACATTTTAATATGACAAAAATAAAGCCTGGCTCCTGGTAATCAACTAATTACAAAGGGGTTTGGAAGTTTTTAGCACGTTCAAGAAGTGGCAGATGTATATAAAGGAATAAGCATGTTTATTTAGCAGCCGTCAACTTCTAACACATTTTATCCAAAGCACTTTTTAACACAAGAAACTCACCGATGAAACACTGTCATGAATTGTTTTCTTAATAGTCAACCAAACATGTATTTAGTGCACAAAATGTGGTTTCTCGATCACATTTGAAGAGATGGTGGTAAAAGGCCCCTAAATCAAACTTTGCTTTAGGCTCTAAACAACCTTTGCCTGGCTCTGTATACTTTCAAAAATAAATGACAAAAACAAACGAATACATACTCAAAGCCTATTTTATTATGTTTAATGGACACCTTCTTGTTTGCACATGCAGTGTTTATCTGGTTCACCTCAGTGTTCCTTGTGTGCTGTACTATATTAGGAATCTTACAGAGAAAGATAAAGCCAAGAGAGAGCACTCCTGGTCAATAGTGTCACATGCTTTGTGATTTGATGAAATGTTCTATTTGTGCAGCCTGGTGTGTATGGCCCTCTAATCAAAGACTTATATTTCTGTGACAACTAAAATAAATTACTCCATTACAATCGCCCACCTGCCCTCTCCACAGTATTGATACCCTTTTATTACCAGACGGAGGCAGACGGACAACACCGACGATTGGGCTGAGTTACCGACAACGCTCCAAAACGTGTGTTAGGTGGCTGCGTAATGTCATGTCAAGGTGGAGTTGCCACAAAAAGTAATCACGCTTTGATTGTCCTGGAGAAAATTACACACGTCCAGAGCCACAAACACGCCTGATGTAGCGCATTGTGAGAGATAACCGTGTGGCCCCCAGCTTTCAGAACAGGCCCGGCTTATTACAATACTTCAGCCAATTTAGGCCTGCAAGCTTCACTTCCCCCATCAGCGGCGGCAGAAAGAGGGAAGAATTTGGTTTGAAAGCCCAATCACATGCAGCGCTCCGAGTTCAGCAGGTGGGGAAGTAGCAGCAAGCGGGACCCCATCAGGCAATAATACAAAGTTAATGATGCAGAATGGTGTCTTTCTCCATGGCGAAGAAGACGTCAATACAGGATGTTTAAGAACGTTGTTCCTAATTACGCTTTTTAAATTCAACACTGACGTGATTGATGATTTCAAAGGGAGGCTTTATTGATCCACTTCACAGACAAGTCTCATCGATTGCAAGTCTGGAATGAATAAAAGTTTTTTTTTTTCTTTTTTTGCTTTTTTCCTTTTGCACCCCCACTTTTATTTCCCCCACTGAGAAAGAGATTGTACAATCAGAGCATCAGTGTGACCTATATGGGTAGTTTGGAGCCAAATCACATCTTTTACAAAGGAAGCCTGAGCAAGGACATATGGAACGGTGATTGCTGGGTGGAGGGACCCTGGGCTCTTTTAAGGTGTCGCACGCAATGCAACAGTTAAACCCCGTGCCTTTCTCAGCCTTTACGTATGTGACTTGTGGCACAATCGCTGCTAACTAACAATAGTAATTGGTAGAAGAGCCTTAAGTTCTCATTTTTACCAACCCTTCGCACGGATCAGTTTGGAAGAATTAACAGAGGCATTGCTTGCAAATGAAATACATTTTATTTTATTCACCAGAGTAAAGAAGTGCCTTGTCTAATACAGTGAACTAACTGTAAGCTACTGCAAGCACACGCCTCGCAATCCTGCCAACAACACCAAATTTTGAGGCAGTGGTTTCTAAATCCAGCTGGTCTACTCATACGATGATGCATCCATATATTCAATAATCAGTGGGATTCTTTACAAATAGTCCAACTTTGCTGGGGGTCTCAGCATGATTAAGTTGAGGAGTGGCTGTTTCACAGAGAGCCAGCCGCCTGTGGTGCATCACGCCTCTCGCTGCAGTCGGCAGTGATGGAGTGACGGATGCTCTGACAGATTGTTTCTCTTCCCCACCCTTTCCCCCTCAACACACACCTCCACTCCCCCGTTGACATGCCCCCATGGCTTGTGCTCATACTTTGTTATTCCCTGAGAGCGGAGAGGTCTCCTTATTAGTGCATGAACCTGACACTCGTCGCATGTCTAATCCCAGTAAATCAACAGGAGAGGCGGCGAAGCCCGGGCGCATCGTGACACCACCTGGTTCGGCTGCAGAAACTTTCTGCATATTCAGGGTGATCTGGCCTGCTAATTCACCATTGGCTGCTTGAATTACACAAACCTGGTTTGGTCAGGAATCAACAGCTCGCC